TCCTCTGTTGAAAAGCCTTATGAAATTGGCTGCTAGAATATTATTACGAAGCAGATGCCATTTTGTTGCATGCTATATGTAAATCAGTGCTGTTTCTCGACAGGTACGAAGAGGAGTGGACAGAGCAGATATTTATAGCATTGCGCTTTCACCAAATGTGCAGTGGCTGGCTGTATCAAGCGACAAGGGGACAGTTCACATTTTCTCTCTTAGAGTTAGGGTAGTTGGGGAGGATTCTCATTCCACTGAAAGTGTAGCCCTCCTGACACAACAAACTTCTTATAATTCCCTGCAAGGCCTTGTTTCTCCGACCACTAGCACCAATCCCGGTTCGTCATTGTCGTTTATGAGAGGTAAGCAAAAATTTAATGTCTCATGAAATATGATGCCTTGCTTCGTTTAGAGCTGTTTATGGAACAAAAGGAAAGGGCACCATATCATATTTGATGCAAGAAGTTTTTATCCTTTTCATGAAACTGCGAAAAAAGATTTTTGATTCCTTAAAGTATATTGGTGGGAAAATTGACTATGTACTAGCTCTAAGTCCGAAAGATTGATTGATTACGCATTATCGTTTAGTTATTCTTTCTCCTGTTCATAATCCTCTCCCCTAATGTAGAAATGGGAAGAATGGTGTTTTGAATGCTAATGTGAAACCTTGACAGTTCATTGCCTCTTTCTTACTGCACATCTATACTCTTGTTGCAGGTGTTCTACCAAAGTATTTCAGCTCCGAATGGTCATTCGCACAATTCCATGTATCAGAAGTCACACAATTCTTTGCAGCATTTGGCGCTCACAATACTGTTGCTATTATTGGCATGGATGGAAGGTAAAAACAAAGCAATTTTACTAGTTGTGAATATATAATCACCCTCAGTTCTCCCACTCACTTGTTTTTTATCTTGGGCTCGCAGTTTTTACAGATGCAGCTTTGATCCCATGAACGGAGGAGAGATGGGGCAGCTAGAATATATCCGCTTTCTGAAGAAGGACAATTGCCTGAGATAAGTCCAACTTATGCTCCAGTTATTTCTCTAAGCCTCCCTGTACATAACCATGTCTATGTAAATAGTATCAGTGAGACCGCAGAAGATTTGATTCACTGCATATTTCCTAAGTCTAGTAAAAGGACCTGCATTATTGATTGGGCTATGAACATAGCAAGATTATCCACAACAGTTTGCTTCTAAACACTTCGTTATGTAAATTTTCTAATAACACCATGTAAAAAGTAATAGCAATTGAAAAAAAAAACAGTTTCATCGAATTCTTGGATCTGGGATCTCTTATCATATCAAATACAAATAATCTACAGCTTTTCAGATAAACTCACAATGCAATACATATCAGATCTAGCTGTTGCTGTATCATATTATTATTCAGGACTCAGGAGTGTAATCAGAATGGAGGATCAATGGAAATGCTTGGGAGAGATAAGCTCGAAGGTAAGTCGAATCCTCCTGACATAAACTCGCCGCCATATAAAGCTGCACTACCTCCAAGTACTGCACCAGCTACCACTGCACCAAACCCTGGCCCAGGCCTTGCATATCCTCTTCCCGCTCCTCCTGGTGCTCCTCCAGATGACAATGATGCAATGTTCACAACGTTCTCTGATCTCGGGATGTATGTAGGCATGTAGCCTGCGTTCGGAGGTGGTGGTGGCTGCATTGGTGGAGGATAATAAGGTTGTTGCATTGGTGGAGGATTGTGAGGTTGTTGCATTGGTGGAGGATAGTAAGGTTGTTGCATTTGTGGGTTAGGATTGTTCACTGGTGGTTTAGGCATTGAGGAGTGTTGGTTATACGGCGGAATTGAGAACTGATTTGAATTGTTCGACTGGTTCATTGGAGCAAATGGGTGCTGCTGCGATGAACCAGCCATGTAATTCTGTCCTGAAGTGTTGTAATCCGAGTTGTTCGATAGCATGACTCCTCCAATATCTCCTGTACAAGAGAACACAAGAATGGTGAGTACTCTCTTTCAAACAAACCCATCTCGAAACACTACGAGGATCTTTTCAGGTTCAAGAACTGAGTTACATGAAACAAAAGCAGCATCAAAGTTAGAGTCATGGCTCCAGATAAACAAAAGGTAATTGAAAGTATCATATGATTCAAGAGACATTACCAGTAAAAGCCCCAAAATCCTCTCTTTCTGAAGATATACGAATCGAAACATCGACAAAACCATGAGGCTTACTAGAGTTGGTCTTCCTAAGCTGATAACTTCCAGTTTCATCAATAACAGATTTGGAAGAACTCTGTTGCTGCTTATACTTAGCCAGAAACTCCTTCAAAGAAACAGTAGCAGAGCCATGAAGCTTCTTCCTTAAGAAGATGGGTTCTCTGCTATAAACCTCAACGTGCAAAGCCGATTTCGAATCCTGAATCCCCGAATCATCGTCGAGTAAAGTAGAAAACTTTGTTCTCCAGACAGGATTGTCTGATCTTGAAGCATCGATTGTGGTACAGTATTTGTCTTCTGGATCAATCCAACCAACCGCGTACCATTGGTGTTTCAGTAGAGAGGATCCGATTCCGGTTCCGACACGTAGCCCTCGAGCTGATATCAAACAGATTTCAACGACGATTTTCCCCATTGAATTTTGGATTCGGACTCACAAAAGTTTAGAACTTCTTCGCAAATCTTGGGTCGGATAATTGCTTTCGACGATGGACTGAGTGAGTGAAGGAGGAACAAAAAAAAAATTCGGACACCGAGTTTAACAACAGTATAAAGGTGTTCTTAAAGTGTCTGTAATTTATAATGTCCCAAATTATTTATTCAACCGTGTCACATTCCGATGATTTTGGGGAAAAAGGCCAATTTCCCGGTGAACTTCCGAGCTTCCGTTTATTCATACATGATCTATTAAGTTAGGCCAATACCCCCATGAACTTTACATAATTTTGAATTTCTTCTCATCTATTAAAATTTGGTGAATTTACACGAAACTGCAGACGGAATCTGTTTTCCGTTAACAGGTTGTGACGTGGATTACAGGTGGCTAACGAGGTTCGGTTTTGTGTTGACCAAAATTAAGTGATTTTTGACTTGATTAACAACAAAACGGCGTCGTTTTATATTTGGGGGAAAAGTGATTAATTCTCTGCATTTCTCAATATTCATCTCTCTAAAAATGGCGGGTCGATTACAATCTCATCAATTACCAAGTGGGCTCTACGTTTCCGGTAAACTCGAGCAACCCAAAGAACGACCACTGACAATGGCTGCTCGTGCTATGCCTTACACCAGAGGCGATATAAAAAAATCTGGCGAACTCGGAAGGATTTTCGACATCTCCGTCTCTGATCCCACCTCTTTCCAAGGACCAGCGTCGATTTTTGTCGTCGGTGGCGGAGGAGGACCACCCAGACAACAACAACCGCTACGTATCCCTACCTCCGCCTCGTATTCGAATCCCAACAGTGGATCCGTTCGATCCGGATCCCAATCGGGTCCAATTCGAAAATCTTCAGGTCCTCTCTCTCAGCTTCAACCCACCGGTTTAATCACATCCGGTCCGCTTAATTCCTCCGGTTCAAGAAGATCATGTCAGGTTGATCATCATCTTCTTCGTTCGAGTAATTCAAGGTCAACCAAACCCAAATACGGATCCGCAGTTACGGTTCTGAATCTGGATCCGGTTCGGGTCCGATTTAGAGTACCAAAACCTGTGATTTGGGCAGTGTTGATAATAGCTGCAATGGGGTTACTGGTTGGTGTGTTTTTATCTGTTGCGGTGAAGAAACTACTGGTTATGGTGGTGATTGCGGCGGCGATATTTCCGGCAGTTGTGGTTTTTGTGTGGAATTGTGTTTGGAGAAGAAGAGGATTGTTGGGTTTCATCAATAATTATCCAAATGCTGTGCTCAGAGGCGCCATTGACTTAAATTTTTTTGTGATGATTTGTTTCGTATTAGCTTAGCTAATTTCGTTTTAGACACACAAAGCTCTGACTCTCTTCTCTTGTTTACGAAGGATTGATATAAGCCCTAAATTTTTTTTCCCCCAAATATAAAACGATGCCGTTTTGTTGTTAATCAAATCAAAAATCAGTTGATTTTGGTCAACACAAAAAAATCGAACCGAACCCCGTTAGCCACCTGTAATCCACGTCACAACCTGTTAACGGAAAACAGATTCCATCTGCGGTTTTGTGTAAATTCACCAAATTTTAATAGATRATRRRGRAAATTCAAAATTATATAAAGTTTATGGGGGTTTTGGCCTACCTTAATAGATCACGTATGAATAAGCGGGAGCTCGGAAGTTCATGGCGGAATTGGCATTTTCCCCCGATGATTTTGCATCATAATGATTACTGGAAAGTTAAATAATTTCCCATTTTACATTTCTTTTCTTTATTGAAGTTTTCATTTTTTACTTAATTATATGAAGAAAGAATGTGAGTGTTGAACAAAACACTGTACTGTTGTTATTACATACAAACAAATCTTGATT